TTTGGGTTTTGGGTTTGGGGCTTGGGGTTTAGGGTTTTGGGTTTAGGGTTTAAGGTTTAGGGTTTGGGGTTTTGTGTTTTGGGTTTAGGGCTTTGGCTGGGTTCGGGGTTTAGGGTTAGGGGTTTCGGGTTTACGTAAGGTTTAGGGGTTTGGGGTTTAGGGTTTAGGGTTTGGGAAGCTCAAATAACTATCAATATACCAGGCAGGAGCCCAAAACCCTATTATTTTTTAAGGCCGCTACATTCAGTGTTGGGGGTTAGTGATACAGGGTTTCTTCGAACCACCCCTTGCTAGCCCGCACTTAGAATGCCTATCCCCTCAGCAATCCAACAGACAGCAATCGCGTTCTATAGTAGCCTGGATACTATTCCTCAGGTTCGCTTCTTGTGATTTTTCCGTAGTATACCCCAAAGCCCGCTTCCCAATCACGCTGGCACCGAAACATTCCCTCAAGTTCCGTAGGGTTTAGGGTCTAGGGTTTAGGGTTAATGCTCGAAAAAGGAGTTTTTCGGTGGTTCACAGATCCGTTGCATTCCCTGCCCATGCAGAGACTCCAATATCCCTTAATTGAGCAGTATACCTCAAATCATATCCTTATAATGTAAGGAATACTGTATCCCTTACTTAAGGAATATACCTTTAATCACTATTAAGGAACATACCTTAAATCACAATTAAGGAATATACCTAAAATCAAAATTAAGGGATATTGGACACTCTGGGTGTGCCCTTTAGTGTGAAACACGGCCTCACCTCTGAACACTAAAAACCCGTCTGAAATTCCAAATCCTCCAACCCTCAGCCTGATATTCTAAATCTTCAGGCTTTGGGGTTTTAGGGTTTTAGGGTTTAGGGTTTTAGGGTTTAGGGTTTAGGGTTTTAGGGCTTTAGGGTTTTAGGGTTTAGGGTTTTAGGGTTTAGAGTTCAGGGTTTCAGGGTTTAGGGTTTAGACTTTAGGGTTTCAAGGTTTAGGGTTTAGGGTTTTAGGGTTTAGGGTTTAGAGTTTAGGGTTTAGGGTTTTAGGGTTTAGGGTTTAGGAACCCTCAGCCCCTGAACCCAACACCGGTCTGGAGTGTTGGGCACGAGTGTATGGACCCTACTGTAGCTTTTACTGTTCTCAGAACTTGCGGTTTAGGGTTCAGGGGCCCAAACCCTAAGCCCTAAACCCGAAACCCGAAACCCTAAGCCCTAAGCCCAAAGCCCTAAACCCTCAACCCTAAACCCTAAACCCTGAACCCTAAGCCCTAAGCCCTAAGCCCTAAACCCTAAACCCAAAACCCTAACTGTACACTGTTTCTGGGTAGTGGTTTTGGGGTTTCGAAGTCTCCAGCACCATTTTTAAAGCACCTCACGCACCTTGGGAAATGGAAACTTTAGGGTTTAGGGTTTTAGGGTTTAGGGTTTAGGGTTTTAGGGTTTTAGGGTTTTAGGGGTTTAGGGTGAGGGTTTCGGGTTTGGGGTCTAGTTTAGGGGTTTTTAGGGTATCCGGGTATTCAGGGTATGAGTGCTTCTACGGCGTTTATGGTTTAGGATTCCCCGGCCCAAATAGTACATACTTTGGCTATCACGTAGTCCCTCTTTAGGTACTTTGGGGCCGAAGTATTCGCTTTTTGGGCACATGGACCCTTAGGGTTCAGTTCAGGGCGTGAGAAATCAGAAAGTTCCCAGAGACTCCATATTCCTTAATTAAGGAATATTCCTTAAATCATATCAAGGATCCTACTACAATTTAAGGAATATTCCTTGATTAAGGAATAATGGAGTCTCTGGGTTTAGGATTGAACATGCAGCTGGCATGCCAAGGCGTGTCTAGCGATGCCGACGCGCCCTGGCCTGCCCTCTCAGGGTTGGGTTTAGGCCCAGAGACTCCAATATTCCTTAATTAAGGAATATTCCTTAAATTATAGTAGGATCCCTAATATGATTTAAGGTATATTCCTTAATTAAGGGATATTGGAGTCTCTGGGGGGTTCAGGGTCGCGTGCTTTTCAGCGCCGTCTCTTCTCAACATCCGGCGCGGGACTCGGAGGCAGATATCTTCCGTAGCAGGTTGTGCCTGTCAAAGCTTCCTCAAGAGTCCCCTCAATTCTTAAACAGCCCTCAACCTTGACGACTCAGGCATCAAATAGTGATCTCCGACGCCTGAGATGTTAGTCTGAACAAATGCAAATGTTATCCTGAGGGATCCTATGTTTTATACTAGAATGCAGACGAAAAGTCTGTTCTATTCATTAAGCCTGAATTAAGCCTCTATAATAGTAGACCAGTCCTCGTGACTGTGCTATCTTCGCGATCGTCCTTTCGATGTCACTGCATGAGCAAGCAAATTACGTACTACTTACGATATACTACTGCTACGACGACGCCGACGACGACGACTACTACTACTACTACTACTACTACGACGACCACCACCACCACCACTACTACCCACTGTCTTCGTCTTAAAAACTACCGAAGCAGGAAAATCAAGTGCTGAATCAACCGTGCACCTACTGC